CTCAACAACTAAGCAGTTTTGTGCATGTCGACGTGGGGTATTTTAATTAATGCAGAGTTTCTGTTGTTGACCAGCTCACAGCACACGTTACAAAGAAAAACACTGATCGTCAGTACGGGTAAATAACATGACATGTAATAGTTCACTTACACTGTGCAAAAATCTCTGCCTGTATTCTCCAGCTTTATTTCTGTTAAAGTCTGCTAACACCAGATCACTTTTGTTAAAACGCACATGACTGCCAACCTTGATCCAAGACACTATTAGTGGAGGAGTTCCAGATGCATTACATGACAGAGTCACACTGCTTCCTTCTGTTATGGTCTCATCTTGTATTGGAATTATCGAAGAAGGCACTGTAAATAAAAGTATTTACATGAACAAATGAGATATCTTTCTAACATTCTGAGATACAACTTGCAGTAGTAACCGATGCTAAAAGTATAAAGAGCTTGGCAACTGTAAAGCATCACCAATGCCATGTTCTCATGAGAGAGCTTTACAACACGATCTAATAATTATTGGTTACTGCTTACTGCATTTGCTAACTCGACTTTTGTCTTAATTTCATCCACTAAAGATACAGGGATAGATTGTTCAAAGCCCGATAAGCTAAACCAGGATTAGCAAGAATTTTGATTTCATTTTTGTGACTTTTCAGGGAAGTTTTCTGTTAATGTTGTTTGCACTTCAGTTTAGAGTTGGAATAATCTCAAACTACACAAAAAATCAACAGTGATAATCCTGGGTTAGTGTTAACCGGTTTTTGAACAACCCAGCCCAGGAGAACTAAATATCGATAGATAACTTAACTCTGTTTTAATTGGTTCGTGAAATGTTGCAGTACATGTAAGAGGCCAATTTTGATAAAATTATTAAAATTTAACATGGCTTCGAGGCTTTAAGCACTAAAAGAAAAGACATCGACGTTGAGGCGCGAATGAACAATTTTCTTTTTGTTCTAGTCCTCTAAGCCTTGATGCCATGTTAGAATTTTAATATATCTGTCTTGACCTATTAATTAAAACTGACGGTTAGGCTTTTCTACATTAAGCTTTTATTTCCCCACTAAAATTCTCCACCTTAATGCTCCATTATTTCCACTAAAATGCTCAGTTTCCCGCCCCCAAAGAGTCACTAAAATGCTCGGTTAATGCTCATACATAGTGTTTTTTTTTTTTCTCGAATTTTAATATCGCCGTGCGAAGGTTACTGAAATGCAAAGATGACATTACATGTCACTTACAAAGTTACCATCTTTCCAAGCTCGTTGGAAATGTCGAAGCCGAACACGATCTAACACTTATGAGAGCTGGAAAATTCGATGTGGATTTGCCCAAATCACAGGTACAATCTAGGTCGTAATTGGCGCCCAGTAAAGACATGTCAACATCCTATCCATTCCGGATCAAGGCAAAAACTGAAGAACAAAGATATGATGAATCTGCAGATGTCAAAAAATATTCAAACTATTTTGTGGGTAACAATTCCCATTGGTTCAGGTAAGAGAGTCACATTTTTAATTACAACCTAGATTGTGTCTGTGATTTGGGTAAATCCACATGCACTCCTGCTAGTGCGTTGGCAAAACGAAAACTTTAATCTTGAAGCCAGGTAAGAGATTTACGAGAATTTATTGGAGCACTTTACGAAGG